GGCTTGTTTTACAACGTCGTTGCCAAGCGACGAAAACCCAACCCCGATGGCAAACACCGGGGGGGACCAACCAGGGAGCGGATATTTTCCGAAGTAACTATTCGTGAGCAAGTGCGGAGGACACCGCAGCGGCTAACTCCCCAACCGCAAGAGGACACGCCGCACGCGCACGCACGCGCATGATGCATACAGTACCTTGTCGGCCAGAACTTGCTCGGCCTCGGAGCTGACGCGGCCCTCCCTCATCTCGTGTAAGATCTTGAGGAAGAAGGGGTCCTTCTGCCTGAACACCTGCGGGAGCGTGAGNTCGTGGTGTGTGCGCATTATTCTAGGGGAGGGAGAGAGAGAGAGAGAGAGAGGAGAGAGAGAGAGGGAGAGAGAGAGAGAGAGAGAGAGAGAGAGAGAGAGAGAACAGCGACAGAAGAAGGCCCGGGAGGCGGCACAACTGACGTTCACTGTCGAAGGTGATGTCAACATTGTGTCTTTACGTGCCATGAAAATGCACGCGAGCTCAAAAGCCATTGGTGCCAGTTTCTGACCTATACCGCAAAAAAAACGCACCACATATGTAGAAGTTCGTGCTGCAGGAGAACATCACGTCAGCATGATCACGATCATCGTGTCGACAGCAACAGCAAAAAGTGAGCCTTACACCAGTCCTACAGCGCTGCAGACGTACAACACTCCCGAAGCGCCGCCCACGAACCAGCCCTGAACATACACACCGGTCGCCCCGGTGGTCTAGTGGGTAGCCTCGCAGTCTGCTAAGGGCCAGGTCATGGGTTCGAGTCCCGACAGAGTGAGTGAGTTTTTTCTCGCATATTAAATCCTGGTCTCCGTTGGAAGCGACGCGCTGCAAAGCTCGTTGATAGTAAACTTGATCGACTTCAGAAGTCGCGAGGGAAGGGATTGCTGTACCCATTTCGCGAGTCTCAGGCAGGAACCGCAGGAGGGGGTCCAACCCCCCCCTCCTATGTGACCCCGGTTGGGTCGTCTAGCTGGTAGAAGTGGAGGATAGGGGCCAGAGGGGCAGACGACAGAGTCCAATGATGGGAGAAAAAAAAAAAAAACATTTCCAACAAGAGGAAATCAGGCGCTAGGCCCACCTACCTGCTTGAGCACGATCGACTGGTCAATCGAGGTGTCCCAAGTCCTTGCTTCGAAGCAGAAGCGAGTGCTTCCGCGGCCAATCCCGACAGGAGGCAGCTGGAAAAAGTCCCCGCACAGCACGAGCTGAATGCCTCCGAAAGGCTGGCCGTTGCCCTTCACCCTGTCAAGCCAGAAACAATACAGTACAGGAAGGGATGATACCCAGGACTTGCGTAGCAACTTCTCACGAGATATATTGAAAGGCAACAACACCACAAACAACAACAACAAACGACAACAACAAACGACAACAACAAACGACAACAAGAGATTCAACCCACCTCTGCCCGACAAGGTTGAGCTTGTCGAAAAGGTCGGCCTCCATCATGGAGATCTCGTCGATCACCAGAACCTTGCATTGGGCCCACCGCTTCTGAGCGTTCCGGCTCCGCTTCACTCGACCCACCAGCTGCTCTACGGACTGTTCGGCCCATCATCCCAACACAGATGTTAGCACACAGTGGGGGGTGCATCATTATGTTCGCGTGTGCCAAGACAAGAAAGAGCTGCACATGACAACCTCCAAGTTTTGGTGCAGTCGGGAAAAAAATTCTAACACGGGCTGCTTTCAGCAGCATCGGTGGGGATCGTGTTTGCTCGCCCCATGGTGAGCGGTAGATCCGAGAACCTACCCATCCAGTATCGTAGATGCAGTGGTGTGTGATGCAGTGGTGTGTGTGATGCAGCACACGCGGGGTGAGACGAGAAAGCAAAAAACAATATCGAGGCCGCAGCACTTTCCCTCCACCCACATCTTTGCCGAGTCCGATTCCTGCGAAGCTGTGGATGGTGCACCCCCCGATACCCACGGCCGCTTTGCCTGAGAAACAAGGCAGGGACAACGCATCAAATGAGACAACTGCACACATGGTCCGACTTCGCAAAGGCTTGTTGTTGTTGTCGTTGTTGTTGTTGTTTTACTTCACATTAAACTCGTGTCAGTTGCTAATCCCAAAATCTAGCAAAGACTTGGTCCGTGGTCACAAAAATGCTAGAGCCATCAGAAGATCTAAAGGACACACACACTATTAGCAAGAAAAGAGTACACAAGCCCGAGGAGGTATACCTACAATCCCTGCAGCACATTTGCATGCTCACAACTGAACTACACGCCCACACACTACAAAACGACTACAGCAGCAGCATCACCCCCCTTGTCCCGCATTTAACCAAAACGAATGTTTGTCGACTACAGCGTACTGCTGTCTGAAGTGCTGTCAGAATGAGTCCGTGGACATACAATGAAGGAGAACAACCAACCAAAGCCATCATTGCAATTGACAATCACCCGAATCTATCCAGATCATCTGTG